ATGCCCAGGCGCTCCATGGTTGCGAACTCTGCACTCGCCACAGCCAGCTTAGAAGGGTTCAACCGCCGGGCCCTGGCGTAGACAGGAGGCCCCCCGGTAGTGACGTGGTGTTCCACGCCATGCTTAGTGGTAAGCGCAGAGAAGGTGGGTAGCGACAGGTCCGATGCACAGACACATAGGCCTCACGCCATACGTGCGAATGGGACCGCCGTTAGCCGTCGTCAATCGCGGTCCGTGCCCCCCACGGGCGACGTCTTCACTCGACGCTGGAACTACGCTCCGTTGAGCGCCCGTGTCACACAGAAACAGGCTCCCCGAAACGCTGTCGCTGACGAAGAGGAAGGAGCCTGCACGTGCCGCCGACGCTCAGAGCCACTACTGAGCGCCGGCCCCTCCGTTTCCCGGGGGGTTGTAGCTGCACGGAGCGATGCATCTCTTCGCCCTTGTCCCGAAACGTGCGTGGTAAACAGCCACGTGTCCGGCCTCCGCCACGCTTTCTTGACTGCCGGTGGGCCGCTGAGCGTCGCGGCTAACGTCTCTGCACCGGGCTGTCGTGTAGCCAGGAAAAAACGATCCGCTTCCTCAGCCAAAGCACGGGGCTCCGTGACAGGCGTGTTGGCCAGCGCCGTCTGTACCCGGGGAGGCAAGTGACGCAGGAAAATCTCCGTGAATAAAAGCCGGGGATCCTCCCCCCCTAACAGATTTAGCATTTTCTCTATTAGCTGAGATGGCTTGCTGTCTCCTAGGCCTTGAATGTCAAGTAACTGGCGAGCCCTCTCCTTAGCAGATCAGCTAAATGTCTTAAGGAGAAGGGCATAAGGGCCTTAATCGCATCATATTTGCCATGATGTGGGGGGGCTGCGATGAATCCCACCAACCAGGACGACGCAGAGCTGCCCAGCGCTGCTACAACATGGTAGTATTTCAGGTCCCCGTCACGGACCTGTCGGCAGGCGAAGTGCGCCTCCACATGTGCGAACCATGCCTCCGCGGCGTGCTCCCAGAATTCCGGCAGCTTTACGAACACATCGCGTTCAGCCATGCTCGTTAATTTCCCGGAAACTTTCTCGGAAAAGTCAGGGTCACCAGTATAGTGCCAGGAAAAGGGAGTCGGAGGCGGTGTATTAAGAACAGAGTTCTAATCTTTATTAGCCATTAATAACAGAGAGGTTATCACATGAACTGCTCTGCTTGATGAGCTATAGCAGGAATGGAAGCTAACGCTACAGGTGTTCCCACTAAAGGGTCCGTGTGGCAACACAATACGAGAGGTGAATTATGTCCAATAACGTGTCACCACACAGGTCTATAAATATGTATCGTAGATGTTGGTTATTTAGCAATGTGAATCATTTAGCTAGAGAAGATTAGCATGAATGACTTTTCTAGACTTTTTCTCCAAAAAGAGGCTGTGGGGCAAAGTGAGCCACATGATTTGGGTTAAATTGAGCTAGTGGTTCAATTTAAGTCCCCATGGAGCATTGAAGTTAATTCTCTGCAGTATAAAATGCTATTTCAGTGTAGTTTTACACAACTGATTTGTTTTTGATGTTTTAAACATTGTAAAAACAACAACATCCCTGTACCAAACAACTGAAGAGAGACAGGGTTTAGCAGGTGTGCAAGACATCACATGATCCAGCAGGTCAGCTAAGGGAACTGGTCTTGCTAAATACAGAATCTTGATAGAATGATTTATATTCTTTTAGGTCTAGATTGGTTCAATCATTTGAACTCACCATCCTTCCTGCCGTATGCCTCACAGGAGTTATTTGACAATCTGGCTAAAGTAATAGACAGATGAGAGAATAAACACATTTGATAACATTAATAACTATCAATGAATAGCCTAGATAAATCAGTAAAAAATACATGTACACAGGCTGGTACATGTGGTTACCTATACATTTACAAGGATATCTTTTTGGGCAGTTCAGTTCATTCTGATTCTGATCTGGCTCTTTTTTAGGTTTGGTGTACTGGCATTAAGTCCCTCCAAAGATGATTTATATAATGTTGACGAGGTGTCAATACAGCGCGGAGACCAAAGCAGGTAGTGGCAGAAAAAGGATGATATATATTTTTGTACTAATGCAGGTTCAACTTGAAAACGTCAATTGGTCAATTTACCCCGAGGTATCTCAATTTACCCCTTGACGTGGATCAACCAACCCTTTAGATGGGGATAACCCTTTTTTTCAGGAATCCAATTTAATGACCCTTTGTGATAAATGCATTATTATCATCTTTGATTAACAGAACACATCCTGAAATAAAGGTTGTTGTTGTCATTTGACTTCTATCTAATTTCTCCTTGCCTACAGGACAACATTTTAAAAATACGACAGTCACATACAGGGGGCAAATTGTCCCTTTAAAAGATATAGGTACAGCTTTAGTGTGACAACAGTGCACGGGATTCAGTGGACCTATTGTTTAGAGAACACAGATGAAGAGCAATATGCACAAAAAAGTGTGAAAATGCCATGTCACAATACTGAACAGTATTCAAAATCTAAAATACATTGATAATCCAATAAAAAAGGACTATGATGTTTTCCAATTGTCTAATAGAGATACTCTCTGCTTCTTACTTCACTTTCAACGAGTCACTTCTGTGTGTGGAAAAAGCCCTGTATTTATCAGGACCTCAGTGCCTGACAATGGGTTGTTTTCAGTACTGAAGACTTCATTTGTTTTTGAAAACACATTTTTGCCAATTACTTTCTTTCAATGCATACCCCAAACAAACAACTACAATTGTTCTAATCTGTACCAGTGCCATAGCTATCATAAAAGTATATTGTATTGTGTCTGTCATTTTAGATTTTCCGACATTTTATGCTTGGAGGATTTTGAAGGCTGATTCCTGTCTTTTTAGACTAAATATAAATTAAAGCAAAATGTTTTAGTAGAGTAGTTTAGTGGAGTTAATTTCAGTCAAAAGAGAGTGCCTTGAAACAACATTTAGATGATCCAGTAGGCATTTCAAATGGGATGTGATGAAGAATACTATTTACGAAAAAAGGAGAAAAAAAAAATTAGTATAAATCCAAATGTCTTTGGTGGTGGCCCAGCGTGTGAGACGCGTTTTTTCACTTTGCATGCAACATGACTATCTTCCTATTGCTGCAATTTACTTTATATTTTAGGTTTCTATCATTTTAATGATTTACCTTTTATCATCTTTATATTCTTATTGTCTGACCAATCTTAGATTTGAATCCCATGATTTAAATGCCATGTATATACTTTATTGCTGTTCATTTATTGATGCAATAATGTGCATGTGTTGATTGAAAAAAAGCATCAGGAAAACTGCACATAAAGTTTGGCTGTTCTTTGCAGCAAAATGCTTTTAAACTACGGATGTTTAAAAAGATAATCTAACTAAACGTAACCGGTATGCACTCTTGACTCACGTAGTGAGTATAAAATCCTTTCATGGATCGCAAAAATCTCAAGTTTCTGACTTGAAGATGTGCATCAGAGGTGATGACTAGAGGTTGTTCATCTTATCTGCAGGATAGTAACAGATTACATGGATGGGAAAGCATAACAAAACCAGATTTAGCATTTTATTTGAAAAGAATTGCCATTAGATAACAGTTACATCGCTAAGAATGGCTTATTATATTTTATATTTTACCTTTAAAAGTATGGTCATTTTCAAATGATTATGACCAATTCTAAATGCCCAAATATGTTCTACTGTATATCAAACTCCTCTCACTTTTACAGTTTTGATAATTGTGACTGATATTTGTTTTTGTTATTAAAGGATGATCTATTGAGATGAACATTTTGAGTAAGTACTCCTCTTGCATTACGAGAGAAAAGTATTGTGTGTGGCCTTTGATTTAAAAAACAAACAGTAGCAACTGAAACAAAAGAAAGCTGAACCCCCCCCCCCCCCCCCCCCCCCACATGTTGTAGCATACACAAAGTGCACCTGGAGTTTGTGCCAGTTTGAGAGGTTTTTGTGAGGGTAATTAGATTTGCCCAACTGTATATGCTGAGTATGCAAAATGCATTTCATTTGCATTGAAAATATATATTCCAATGATATCCATGTCATTTGTATTCATTGACCGACAGTGGTGTAATGTAACTAAGCAAATGTACTCCCATATTTTTACTTGAGTATTGTTTAACTATGCCACTTTATACTTACTGTACTTGAGTACAATTCAAAAGGTAAGATCATACATATTACTTCACTACATGTATCTTTTAATTTGAGTTACTAGTACTTTAGAAATTAGGAAAGTTAAAAGAGAAACAAAAACATATAAAATAGGATGGTTTGTTATAAATTGAACTGTCCGACAGTTTTTACGAGAACATTTAAGTCGATTAATCAATTTGCTGATTGCCTGAAAATAAATTTGCATCATAGATCATTTAAGTAATTTATTTTTTTTATTTTGGGGGGTATTTTTAAATAAATGTGAACATTTTTTGCATTTAGTACTTACACATTGTATTCTTGAAGTAGGCCTAAATCTTGCACATAATACTTAGTTTCTTCACTTATGTATACTTTTGAATGCAGTAAGTACTTAGTAAGTACATGTTCTGTATTCTTCCTCCACCAACTGAACACATCAAAGTAGCCTATCTGGCTCAACCCTGGTTTTCACTAACACTATGCAAAAATATAAGCCTTTAAAAAACTGTAATTACAGTTTAAATTATTTTCCTTGTGCAGTCAGGTCACTCTTTCTCATTAAGTGTCACATTCGGGGTTCATGTAAATGTTTATTTTTGCAACAGCCCTGCAGTATAAATAGCTCTACTTGTTAAGAAAGAACATGTTTGCAGTGAATATCTCAGTGTGACTTGTCTTCCACAGCCTTCTCCAGTGTGTGTGTGTGTGTGTGTGTGTGTGTGTGTGTGTGTGTGTGTGTGTGTGTGTGTGTGTGTGTGTGTGTGTGTGTGTGTGTGTGTGTGTGTGTGCGTGCTCTCTCTCTCTCTCTCTCTCTCTCTCCCTCCCTCCACCTCAGCCTGCCTGCCTGCCTGTCAGCTTGCCTCGACCACGTAGCAGCTTCCTGGCAGCGGCAGCCGCTTGTGTCTGCTCCTCACACTCTCACACACTCTCACACAGTCAGTCAGTCAGTATCAGTAGCCTATGTAGAACCACGTAGCACCAGCTTTGGATTTTAACCACCACCACCAGCCGAAGCGGCAATGGACCTCTTTGAATTCGACTTTTTCAGAGACTGGGAGCTTGAACAACCATGGTAAGTCCTGCGCACACTGCTTTAATATCTTTTGTGTTTATCATGTTAATGTGGGAGGGTTAAAAAGAGGGATAAACGGACATGGCATCCCTGCTTATTTGGTTAAAAAATGGGTAAAATGCGTTATTTTTGGGAGCTAAAGTGAGTAGCGGAGATTCCGTGCAAACCGTATTTCTTTGTCACCGTAAAGCTGCCGTTGTTGCTCGAGACGAACCGGGGTGCACGCACTAACACGCTCGCGCTCACACAAACAAACATACAAACACGAGCCGGCTTTTACTGTCTCGCTGTGATATTGGAGGAATGTTTGATTTGCGTGTAAGCCTGCACCGGGGCTGTGTGACAGGCGGTGACACGGTGAGCAGCAGGGATGTAAGGGGACAGCAGGCGAAATGAATGAATGTTAGCTAACACACAAGTTTGACAGTTTACTACAGAGTTTTATATAGAAGCCTACTGAACATTACACGTAGTAGAAAACGTGTTGAGTTCAGGTGCATCACATATGTTGGTGCTTTGTGTGTTTTGGGGGATATACAGAGAGCACGGTATGAAGGAGTGAAGTTGGGGTGTGCTGCTTCTGGGATGTCAGTGCAACATTTGTTGCCAAACCATATATCTGTTTGGTTGATAAATGCTACAACTTTTGCTCCCTCTTTAACATAGCCCACAATAGTGGTCTGATATATGCTGATATACAGTCAGTAGGGTTAGTTCTTTGTAAATATGCAGAAGAGATTATTGACTGGTTGATTGCTAATATAAATCAGCAACAATTCTGATCATCCTTTATCTTTTAAGGAATACATCACACATGTGCTGGCTCCAGTTCTCCGACAAAACAATTGCAGCTGACATTGAATTGTATATTGTTTAATTTCAGACCAGAGCTGCAAACATTAACTGGTAACCATCACATACACCTGCAACTATATTAATAATCGGTTACAAGTCATTTTTAAAGAAATAATTCCCTGATTCTCGATTCTTAAGTGTAGATTTATTGTCTGGTTTCTTTAATCCACTTTGGCAGTAATCTGAATACTTGAGTTGTGGTCAAAATAAGACATAAAGACAATTATTGACAGCTTTATCAATAATTATCTATCTATCGAATCGATCCATCTCTCTCTCTCTCTCTCTCTCTCTCTCTCTCTCTCTCTCTCTCTCTCTCTCTCTCTCTCTCTCTCTCTCTCTCTCTCTCTCTCTCTCTCTCTGTCTATACCTACCTACCTACCTACCTACCTACCTACCTACCTACCTACCTACCTACCTACCTACCTACTACCTACCCTACCGACCTACCTAACCTACCTACTACCTTACCTACCTACCTACCTACCTACCTACCTACCTACCTACCTACCTACCTACCTACCTACCTACCTACCTACCTACCTACCTACCTACCTACCTACTTACCTACCTACCTATATATATATCTATCTAAGTCTTATCTTTCCATAGTTTGTCCACCAGAGAGCACTGACTGGTTAATGTTTACACTCTTAAATTGTTCTGCTAAGTACATATCTTTGTCACCATAAAAACAATAACCACAATCAATAAGAGGTCATGCAGTAATCTGTAAAGAAAGTAATTGTTAATCGCAGCCATGCCGTGCACTATAGAATTGCCTTACAACCCTCAGTGCAGCAGAGGACCTCAGAACAAAGACTCACAGGGAGAGAAGTGCTGCTTAAGGCTTTTAATACTGGAGAGACCCAGCGCTGTTGGAGGCTTAAAAGAAGACGGAGAGGCCGACAAAGGAGAATTATAATTCTATTTCTCTGCGTGATTTGGAATTTATTACAACATTGAAATGTAGTTAAGTCAAAAGAATGAGAAGTAAAATGGTCTATTGAACATTCAGAACAGCTTCTCTTGAACTGGCCAGCTCCCAGTCTGGGCTACAGTGTGGACTGCATTTATAAAGAGTGTTTCCCCCTTTACCCCCTTTATTTCCGGTGTGGCTGTAACTGGGCGAAATCGTAGACAACCTATTCTACCTGCTGAGCAACACCCACCTCACTGTTCGTACAAGTGGAATATAAAGAGATGGGGACTATATTTTACATTTGAAATACATTCTGGGTGAATACAAATAGGAAAAGCCTTCGCAATTTTGCCTGATAAAAACATATAAGAAATGTTTGGGCATATATCTTGATGTGAGGTCATGGTATCCTCAGCTGCAACAAGTAGTTGAATTATGGATTATTAAAAGATGGAATATTGTTTATGCAAAACAAGTGTATTCAGCCTCTCAAGCAAGGTTTCCTTCAGTTTAACTTTTATGTCATATTCAAATGAATATTTTTGTATTGACAAAACAAGACATTTTCAGTCCTGACTGATTTATCCCTTAAAATAATCTCTGATTTATCCATATCAAAATGATCATCAGTTGCAGCCCTTGAGGAAAACCTCTTGGAATAATAGAACAGAACAAATCAATGTGCCATTAAGTTAAAATGCTCTGTGAGATGTTTCACTACAGCTGGATAATATCTGTATTGTATTTATCGGGCTGTTTCACACAGTGCTAAAATGGAAAAAGGACTAAGGTCCATTATATAATGTACAACTGTCAGCCTCACTACTTCAACCACGTATTGTAGTGGGAGCACAATAACTTGGCAACCGTGTTGCTGTTTTGAGTCCGTATTCCAGCGGGGGAGAGTGAGAGCGAGGAAAGTGACACACACTGCTGTCCCTCAGCAGCCACCGTGGAGGGGCCCTGGAGCCGGGTACTTAACCCCCCACTGCTGGAGTGGAGCAGCTCAGTGCTCAACAGCAAGCTCAGGGTGTCTACACATGTAACCCCCCCCCCAACACGCACACCACCACTCCATCACGCTGCTGCCGTCAGTTGGTCCTGATGGGAAATTAGGCTTGCACGAAAAAACCCAGCTTCATTACAAGGAACCCACAAGAAGTGCCAGAAACAGCTGATTGAAAAAAAAACAATACTCTGAGCTGCTGATGGGTGGATCAGCTTAAAGGTGAAACCAGATTAGACCTTCAACTTTTAGATGTAGGAGTGAATGAAAACCGGCTCCTTGACATGTGATTGCATGTTCATGGTGCGGTATAAAGAAGGAAGGTCTGGACTCAATATAAAACCAATAGATGTCCTCAGCTGGTGTCAACTCGTCTGCACCGCCTGATACCACCATTGGTCATTTTCTCCAAATCCTAAAGCAACCAATGTTTGTAGGATTAGAAAACATGACAATTTTGATATTTTCACCTAACATTTTCTGAGATTTTGCCCTACTGTTTGTACCATAGTAGTTATCTCTTGGTGTATTAGATCAGTAGTTTCAACCATCCAAAAGCACAGTTTTGGTAGGAAAGGATAGAAATATTTGTTCTGCTACAAAGATTTATACAATGGCGTATTAAGGGCATAGGTAAAAAGTAATTCATAAATGACAGAGCTGTTGCTGCAGGTAATCAAACCCTTTGAATTTCAGTCTCACAGTCCAATATTCAATCAGCTTAATCACGCATGTGAGTTCAATACACACAAAATCATTCATCACACTAACATTTCCATTCTCCCTGTGTTATTTCAAGATGAATGACATACACTTCCTTGAAAAAAACTCAGGAAACTCAGAGATTAAACTGATACATTCACAGGGAAAAAAATGTGCGTTACTTAATTTATTAAATTATTCATGACCTACCAATTTAATTAATTTCACTAAGGACCACTTTACCTTTTCATTCTGTCACACCATTTTTATCACATTTTATAAAAAATGTACCAATCTACACTCAGCATATCCAAGTTTTTTTCTAGTAAGGTTACGTAAACACCTCCGTCTTAAACATGGCTTATATTAAAGGTCCCCTATTTAACGTCACTACCGGGGGGCCTCCTGTCTACGCCAGGGCCCGGCGGTTGAACCCTTCTAAGCTGGCTGTGGCGAGTGCAGTACTATTATAGCTCTCGGATATATACAAAACATGTCTCTGAAGTGTTTGGCTCCAAATACCAAACAGGTAATTGTAGCATCCCATAATCCCCTCTGTTTCAGCCCTGTTTCACAAGTGCTGATTCTCTGTCTGTTACTTTAGATCAGGGGTGCCCAATAAGTCAATCGCGATCGACGTATTTGGCAGGGTAGTGTGGGTAGATCCCTTGGCATTGGAAAAAAAAGAAGGAAAACAATTTTTATTTATTTTTTAAAGTTAGCCTATCATCCATCCTTACTATGGCATTTGCCACTTGATTGACATGCAGGTAAGCCAGTCTGAGTTGTATTGTGCCATACGGGTTCATGCAGTTATGAGGGGCCCTGCGGCGCAATTAGTGTAAGCGCACCACAGTTTTTCCTCCGTGTTCCTGAAACGTTCAGAATCTCTTTACACAGAGGGGACACATGTTTATGTATAAAATAAATGAAAAAGTGGATTTTGCACAATAGGTCCCCTTTAAGCATACTTGGCCTTTTAACCAGCCACATACAAATAATACAATACATTCAACTTGTGCTTCATGGTCTAGAAAAAACAATTGAATTTGGTTTGGGAATGGTGCTGCACATCATGTTGATGCTCCTCACCAGTGTCTTCTAGCAGCAGCCCTGGAAAGCTTCTTGATGTAGCGACGTCTCAGTGATAATAAATATCAAAATGGACTCAACTGTCCAAGATCATAAGGAGTAGAACACCTCCACTGGGGGAAAAAAAACCCAGAGTAGTGGAGATATTTTCAAATGGACCTACTTTTCTTAAATTTTACAATGGATTTCACAGGCATAAGAGCTGACACACACCTTCAATGGAAACCGTGAAAATCAGTCAGATTGGAGTTAAAAGTCTGTCATTCGCAATTGATGTGCTGCTCCTGTTTGACAGTGGATTTTCCCTTTAAGGGAGAAAAAATGAGAGAAAACAATCTTGAAGCCACCCCACGCCTTTGTTAAATTCAAACGAATCCAACACTGTAGATCTCCTCCTTCCTCCTGGAGAAATACCCTTTCATG